GCTACGCAACCCAAGGTCAAACTGATGTGATCAGTAAATACATCTTTTTAAACGCCACAACTTTTATCTGAAACATTTTTTTCTAAAATGCTTAGTTTTCGAGATATTTCACCGGTCCGGGACTTTTTGAACACCCTGTATATTATTTTATTATAAGTTATTTAATTACTTGTGCTGTTTATTACTTCTTTATATAACTATTATTAGTACTTTAGTAATAATAAACATTAATTTTGACTAATAATGTTTATACGTTCTATGAGTTCTTCATATCTTAGAGAAGTCTTATTTTGGCTGCGTTCTGAAATTCACTGCCAGTACTGAAAATCTATAGTTCATATTATGTATACTATAGAATTTCAATACTGGCAGTGAATTTTGGAACGCAGCCTTCATATCATTTAATCTTATCTCATCTTATCAACGACGTCATGTCGAACTGGAAACATAGGCCAGACTCTTATTATGGGGACTCTAATTCTGACTGGAATCGATTCCGACAAGTTTCATAATACGTACCCAGATGACAGATTCCTTAACCTCGGATGTGACTAACTTTAACACTAAATATCTCGCTTAGCGAGGCAGAGCGACACTTTTTTCGGCCAGATTCTTTTATTTTATGCAAAAACGCGTCGAATGAGCCTATTTTCATCAAAATCGGAGGATAATTATTCTAAATAATTACCTAACCGGTTATACATTTAACCTTCTCGTACATGTCACGACGCGGAGCCGGCGTTCATATACATATTTTAAGACTCGTCTATAAGAGTCGCCGCACACGAATTGACATAATAGTAACGTAAGACGTACTCTAAAAATGGACCAATCGAGTATTCACAAAAATGGCGACCTTAAGCTGGCCACACACACTTTCCGTAACAGTAACCGTAAGACGTAACGTAAGAATTGACCAATCATGTTGAGAATTGTCGAATTGTAATGTCGCCATTTTTGTGAATACTCGATCGTAATTGGTCAATTCTTACGTTACGTCTTACGGTTACTGTTACGAAAAGTGTGTATGGCCAGCTTTACGGTTCGACGATACTCAAAGTGATTGGTCAATTCTTACGGTACGTTAGTGTTATGTCAATTCGTATGCGGCGCCGCTAATGCACGAAGTAAACTTGGAGTAAGAAATAAGGATAAGTGATAAGAGAGAATAAAAAAAATTCACTTTGCTTACTCCTCCTCTCCCCCTCCCCCTATACTTATAGCCCCTTACACCGGTAGTATTTCTTTTAACTAAGAGAGATACTTTCTTAACTTAACTAAGGGTATTTACGATAATTCGAGTTGGAGTTAGTACGAGTTAGTTTCACTAGGGCCGAAAAATATGATAGTCACAAGCATCTAGTATTTTCATGATTCATGACAACTCAATGTTGTCCGATAAATCGAGTAGAGTAGAGTAGAGTAAGGGCTATCGCACACAAATTGACATAACTGCATATGCATAGCATAAGATCGTATGGACCAATGAGCATCGAATATTAAACATCGAACACCAATATGGCGACTTAATACTCAATGCTCATTGGTACATACGGTCTTATGCTATGCATATGCAGTTATGTCAATTTGTGTGCGATAGCCCTAAGGTCGGTTTTTCCAACCTCTTGCTAAGCTAACTAACAGTTAACTCATACGTCTGTCTTTGTTTCTCCTTTAAATTAGGTAGAAACAGACATAAGATTTAACTGTTAGTTAGCTTAGCAAGAGGTTGGATAAACCGACCCTAAGGGTAGCATAGCGGATAGTATATGTATTAACAGGTAACATAGTTTCGTAAAATATATAACAATATAATATTACGAAACAATGAGTTGTTACATTTTAGAAAAATTAGAAACACTAAATTAAATTATGAAAAGGTATCATGTATTTGTGAAATATCCAAAAGTAGAAAACGATTATTCTAATCTATTATTAACCTATTATTATTGAATATTTCACAAATACATTTCCATAATTTAATTTAGTGTTTCTAATTTTTCTAAAATGTAATAAATCATTGTTTTGTAATATCATTGTTACATATTTTACGAAACTATGTTACTTGATACTGTTAATTCCTATACATATACTATCCGCTATACTACTTTAACTCTATTCTACTCTACTCGATTTATCGGACAGCATTGAGTTGTCATAAATCATGAAAATACTAGATGCTTGTCCTATCATATTTCTCGGCCCTAGTGAAATTAACTCGTACTTACTCCAACTCGAATTATCGTAAACAGCCTAAGAGAGAGGTGTAAGGAGGCTAGATTAAAGCAGAGATTTCGAGAACGAAGCCGTGCCGATAAATATATATGACAGTTGATTTGCACATAGAGAGAAGTCACGTACTACGCGTGCACATGTATGACATAACGCCCAGACAAAAAGAAAGACGTCTCTTTCAACCGGCGATGCGCGTCCACGACGCCGACAAATGAATTTTACGGATAAACGGTAACGCTCGGATTAAGCATTAAGCGGATTACACACGCGCTCCGCATTTATCGGTGCAGCCGATTACGCTCGCTTAATCGGTACTGCTCCGCGACCGAAAATATTTATTTTAATTGACGCAACCAACGGACGTGAAACATGTTCCCCTTACATGGAGAGGGAAAATATTTACGCTAATTAACCTACGTTTGCGCTTGTACTGCCGCGGTTACCTTCTTCATCAAGCCGACAGTGGAATTTCTCACGATGCTTGCAGATTTAATCGTCGTGGTAGCTTCTATGGTAGTGCTGTCGGTGGGGAGCAACGGTCAGGTGTTCGCAACTTCCGCCATTCGTGGCATACGGTTTTTGCAAATTCTTCGAATGCTCCATGTCGATCGTCAAGGCGGCACGTGGCGGCTTTTGGGCTCGGTGGTTTTCATACATCGTCAGGTATCATATTGTTCTACTTAAAATTCCGTATAACGACGTGCACAGCGTCAAGTTAACGAAGAGAAATATCTTTGCATATTCGTCTACTGAGGAGATTAACAAAAAAGAAATAGAAAATATTTATCCTGTGTGTAAATACTGTAATAACACATTTATTCAAATCTTCTTTGCTGAATAAAATGAATAATATGCTTTCCTGAAAAGCAACCGTTTTAATAAAATAAATCTCTGTTGAAAAAAATCCTTTTTTTCCATGTAAAAGTACATATGTTAATGCAAGTAAATATGTCGCCATCATAGTATCTGTCGAATAAAGAGATATTTCTTATTTTTCTAGATTTTCTCTTAGCGTGTCTTACGAAACGTTTTCTCTTCTTTCGCAGGAGCTAATCACAACGCTGTACATTGGATTCCTAGGCCTTATTTTCAGCAGTTACTTTGTGTACCTCGCCGAAAAGGACGCGGTCGGACCGGACGGCAAGACAGACTTCTCCAGCTACGCTGATGCGTTGTGGTGGGGAGTAGTAAGTCTCCCTCGCTCATTATTTACACAACACACAGAAAAAGAAAAGATTCTTGTTTCGAAACTATCTCTGTGCTTTTGACGTGCAAATCTTAAAATAAGATTACATGGTGTTAAATATAGTCAAGCCACTTGCATCGATATCTTTTATATAATTCAACAGAGAGAAATATATTTTTTATTATTCAGAAATTATTTTCACGAATGTGTTTGCGTGGAAAGCGCGAAATATCAGATTGACAATATTATGTTTTTAAATGTCGGAAAAAAATGCCATTATCATAAAAATAATCATATTGCATTTCTTATAAAACTATCATAGCGTTCAAATAAAATTATAACTATTGAAATTCAAGGCTTTAAAGTTCTAATAAAATTACGCATCGTAGCTAAAATATCTATGAAACAACGATCGTCAATTTGAGTATGTTATCAGTTTTAAATGAATATTGATTCCTTTTTTTTTGTGCAACGACATCAACAAAGACACGCGAACCTGCGCTTTCTATTTGTTTACCTTCGTATTTGACTATTCGCGAGGTCGAGTCGGGAACAAGACGCAATAAAGGATTACGTCGCGAATGAATCGATCCCGCGAACGATTCGAACGACCTCGAGGCGGTCGCGTGGCTCATCAGCCAGGCGGAATAATCGCGAGCGACGGCGCTAATCGCCGCGACGATCGATTCGCAATTCTCGTCGCGCGGCGTGCGACAATGATACATTCCAACGAATGCAACCGATACGGATATCGATATACCGCGCGCGTTTACGTGCTCCGATTCGAAGTGCAGCCGTTGCCGTCGCCGCGGAACGCGAGTTACTTATCGGGGTGTAATGCGCTAATTAACAGGATTAATTAATTGAATTTCACTAGCCAGACTGCCGACAGATTTGTTAACTGTTCGCGCGGCAAAACCCTCCGGGCTAAATCTGATTTCATTAGCGTCGCAGGGATAATTTTACACACACACATACACACACATAGAAAAATATTATTCTACTATCAGAAAAGCGATTACTCAGTTTACTTTTCTTCTTCCAAGTGATGGTTATCTTCAACGCAGAATATTTTCTTGACAATAGTCTTAAAATATATCTATCACAGATTTCAGAAGAGTTTATTTTATCATGTTCTCTCAAAAGAAGGATTTATCCTCTTTACAAGAGTATTATAAAACTTTTCCTTTGAAGAGAATGCGGACTCAGCTCTACGTAGTAAACAAGGTCGGTTTTTTCTTTAACTTAATATTTTTGGTAGAAATGTTAAACTTACTATCCTCACTAAGATTCAGAGTATATTTTGAATAAGTTTGATGCTTATGATGAAAATTTATGATTGCTATAAACTTATGGAACTTGAAACAAGAAGCATTTGCTTCAATGCAAGCACGTATTTTTCTGTGTGCACACGCACAAACACATACACACTGGAGAGCATATGTGTGCATATTTACATATTTATATTTATGTATTTTTTCGTTTATTATAGATCACGGTAACGACGATAGGCTACGGCGACACGGTGCCGCAAACGTGGATGGGAAAAATAGTGGCATCGTGTTTCAGCGTGTTCGCCATATCTTTTTTCGCACTTCCAGCTGTGAGTACACGCCGTGAGTCTCAACGGCGGCCAAACGCGCTCCGAGTTGACGCGTGCTCTCGAACTCTCCTCAGGGTATCCTGGGCTCCGGCTTCGCGCTCAAGGTGCAGCAGAAGCAGCGGCAGAAGCACTTCAATCGGCAGATACCGGCTGCGGCGATGTTGATACAGTGTCTGTGGAGGTGTTACGCCGCCGACAAGGCCATCAACAGCGTCGCCACGTGGAACATCTACATCAAGGACCCGGCGCCGGCCGGGCAGCCGTCGACACCACTGGGAAAGGTAATGTTTCCCCTACTGCGAGTTTAGCGGTGCGGAGCAGTAGCCGTTGACTAGCTGTTGACTGTTGATGTTCTTAGCTGCTTATACAATGTCCTTGGGCGTACCGAAGTGACCGTGCCGAGCGGTGGCGAGCCCGATTGCCGTTCGATCGTTCGGATTTATCGCGGACGAGCAAGCGAGCGAACGAACAAACGAACGAACGAACGAACGAACGAACGAACGACCGACCGAATGATTCACCGCGCGTGCGAGAAACGATAGACGACCTAATCCGTCGCGAATCGAAGCGTCGAGGCACGCGAGAGACGGTAGATACGCGATCTTGCCCGCGCGATTCGCGGTCGGCGCGATCCCGGTTGCCGTGCACGCCAACGGATCCGGAATTACCCGCGATTTCGCCCCGACCCGTGCCCGATCGTGCCCCGGGCTAATTGCTCTCCAAGATCCGCGGACTTTTACCACGATTACGTTCCCACGTGCGGTCGGGATTATCGACTAATACCGAGTCACAGAGGAGCCTCGTCGTTGTGTTCGCTCGAGCTTAGCCTCGCCTCGTCTCGTCTCGTCTCTTCCAGTCTCGTCTCGCCTTACGCGCGCTCTCTTAAGCGGATTTGCGAGAAATCAAATTCACTTCGTGTCGTCGACCTGCCGCGCGAATAGCGGCCCCAAGGAGAAATGTTATATGGCGCGTATAATAAAAGTCATCCCTCTCGCTTCGTGGCAAAGCGATCAGCGAGACTGAGCCGTTGAATTTCAAGCTACGGCTTCGAGTGAAACGTTCTCTCCCACTCACCCCTACCTGTGCAGGCAGCTTCGATTACATCTCGCGCATAAATTTCGCACGATAAGGCGGGCGCTGAATAGCGAGAGACGGGAAAGTTAAATACACAATTAATGAATAATGTATTTCTTAAACGAAGCGAACACATCGAAGCCCTCTCCTCTTCCGGGCAAGTCTAAATTCGCACTCAACGGTCGGACGGGTGATCCGATGTAGCCGAGAGCTTTCACGCAGGTTTGGCCAAAAGTACGGAACGTATCTCTGATGATTCGCGGTATAAGTCTCAAGCCGCGCGCGTGGTTCTCGGGCTAATTAGAAAATTACCGAAGCGGAATAAGTGCCCGAAATGTATCACGAATGAGGTCGTTGGGACAAGAAGAGAAGCGAAAAATTTATATCGCGGCTTTAGTTCTCCGTACCGCACGCCAGCCGGCTGAGTTTACATTCGCCTCGCGTACATTTTGGCCAAGACTGTAGATCCGCGCCGCTTCGTGCAAATGTTTGGAATACGTAATAATTTAATACACTAAAGCCGTTGCACGGTTCTATTAGCGCGGCTATTTCCACGGGCCCGTAACACGCTGCGCTGCGCTGAAAGTTATCACGGCGTAATTTCAGTCGCGATCGGGGCACAATTACGGTGATATTTGCGAGGGAATATCGCGTCGTCTAATATTATTATTATTATTATCATTAGTCGCTATCAATTATTATCAATTGTCACAGTCGTGGCGAGTCGGTTTCGCATAGCGACAAACGGTAACAGCGACAGTGACAGCAATAACGACGAAGCCGGCCGTTTATCGTCGTGTTGCTTGTCCGATGACAATTTGGCAGTGGATGGATGCAAGCGGAGAATGCGAATTCTGCTCGATGTTTTCGATGTGCCGTTATTTTACCACCGAGACCGATCCGGACGATTCTGTTCTTTCCTTCTCACCTCTTTTTGGTTCTCCTTTTTCTCTTCCTCCATGTTGCTAGTCACATACGTGTGTTTATATGCAGTACAAGGTGCGCTTAGAGGCTTCTGTACATTATTATTATTATTATTATATCCCCACCCCGCCTTTACATACGAAGTCACGGGAGTTGCGCTTTCGTTCTCACTGGTTCGACTTGGTTCCGTTTCGGTGTGCGTATCTGTAATCGCGAACGATCCCCAACGGTATCAGTTCTTGACGAAATGGTTTGTTTACCCTTTGGAAATGTGCGCTGGGTGTCTGACAGTTTGTTATGCAGCCACGGTGTACAGGTAGAACTCGTTAAACTGAACGCAAAATTCCTCTACTATTTCGCAAACAAACACCAACGAAATTTTCAGTTGTTAATTAAAGAAGATTGAGTGTGAACGATATCGCGCGCGATGCGGTAGACAAGCAGTAATTGCGACATCTACCGTCGTATGTGTGCTTGTACACATATTAAGTCAAACCAAACAAAAACGTTCTCTACCATTTTGCAAATGACCATGTGGACTTTTGGTTATTAATTAAGGAAGGTTAGTGCATTAACGCGCACAATCACACGCACTTAGATTAGGTCACTCTGAGCACAAAATTTCCCCACCATTTTGCAAACAATCACGTAAAATTTGGAGTTGTTAATTGGAAGAAGATTGGTGAATGACCACGCGCGACACGATAGATGAACAGTGATGACGATCGCGTGTGTGTGTGTGTGTGTGTGTGTGTGTGTGTGTGTATGCTTGTGCATCAAATCAAATTGATCAAGAAAGTCCTCAACCATTTTGCAAATAACCACATGGATTTTTCGTTATTAATTAAAGAAGACGAGGACTTTTTGCTCAAATTCGCACTGTCCAGTTCAGATTTAATCAGTAACTCAAAATTTTACGTGGTTGTTTGCGAAACAGGTAGAGAAATCTTGCGTTCAGTTTGATGAGCTTCACCTGCACACAACGATCGTGTTATTATAATTGTCAGACACTCTGTATATATATACCTATGATTTTTTAACAGTATCCTTGATTATTTGGAATGCCGAATATGTGGGGTGTGCGCAGATCGTTCGTTACAACATATCTCGATAAACGTTTTTACACTAGGTTGATTTCGATCAATAAAGTCCTCGTGTTCGCGCGTTTCAATTTTTGTAGCTTCTCTCTGTTTCTCTTTTTGCTCTGCGATCCATTTTTTTTCCTCTAATTTGAATTGCAAACATTGCCGTTTCAACAGTCTCTGACGACTAGTCTGTGTCGCGTTGCATAGATACAAATCCCGTAAAAGGCCGGTCAATAATTTCTGTCGTCAGTTGCTCTCTCACATCTCTTCGTAATGCCATCTGTCCCTCTCTCTCTCTCTCTCTCTCTCTCGTTTATTAAATTTGCATTTCAAATGTTATCGCTGGGAAAGTCCAAGCGCTTGACGTTGTCCCATTGTGTAAATTGTGTAAATTGCTCCGAAATATACGAATCGAATAACAAACGCGCGATATTTTTTACAGCGGCGCTTGATTTCTCGGCACGGCTATGTTTGAGTTTCCATTTACGCCGGCGATTATTATCGTCGGCGTGGCCATTGTGTTTCCATGTTACTCGTGCGCCACAACGTGGCCGGATGTTATAAAGCGGGGCAACGGCATGATAGAAAATGCGCGCACGAACGTTGCGCGCGCGCGCGACACGATTTTCGCGGGCGCCGCGGCATGCATGTGCCGGCGATAAATCCGAAATCGTTAGCGACAACATTTTGACGTACGTAACATATACAATACGAGACGGGACGTAGTACGAGCCGTATCGGCACATTTCACTCGTACGCTCGATTAACACGAGGCGACGGTGTATTTCGTGGTAGTAGTAGTGTCTCCATTTTGCATCTGCTGCCAAAGTTCTCGAACTGTTCTCTGTTCGAACGAAACCCCGTCCCGGGGAATTACCACAGTCGGTACGCGACTTCGCGCGATTACGTCACTTATTAAAGCGCTATAGCGAAAAAACGACGATCAGTGTGATGATTTAAATGATGATAAAATTTACCTAATATATATTTCAGTTGATTTGTGTAAAGAAGATGGTATGTAAATGATTTATATTTATTTCCATTCTTATATACTCTCTTTTGCATGTTTATTTTTTTCCAACTTTCTCATATCACGTTTCTTTACACGTTTCCGTTACACCGTTTACGTCGAACGTCTACCTCTTACATTTCTTATATGAGCCGAAGTCACCGTACTCACCGTGTCTGGCTGAATGTGTACGATGTATTATCACGCATATTAAGAGATATTCGACGCGCGCTGTCCACGAAGAACGGTGTTTCCGCAGCACACGCTTAGCTTTCACGAAGACGGCCGCTCGACTTTAAGAGCTGAGCCTTTGCCTTTGGGGTGAACCTTAACTCGGAATTTTAACGCGGCGAGAGAGTGTACGGCGCGAGACCAAAGTGTTTGATATCGTCTCTACGGATTTAGTTGTCGAGAGGACCGAGGCTCTGTCGAATTTTGTCATGAAGCTAAGAGGAGGAGCAGCTTCTCGTGACATTAGTGCGCTGCTCTTTGGTTTTAGCGTTGCGTGACTTTTTCTCTGTCAGAAGGCGACTCAATAGCGCGCAGTATCACAGGTGTATCGACAACGTGGTACACCGACGACACGCCGCTATTGTTCCTTTTAACGAACGGAACGATTCATGCGATCGAGAGAGCTGCTTCCTTCTGAGCGAGCGCGGCTTCGTGTAAGCTTCTTAAAGCTTGCCTGAGGAGGAACGACGTAATCGCTTTCTTTTTCTCTTTTTCTCTTATTTCATCATGTTTGCGCTTCTGTAACTCTGATTGTACGATGTATTCTTCTTGTCTCCTTGCCGTTGCGTTATCTCCGCGGATAACGATCGGCGATGCAATGAGAAGTGACTTGACTTTACTTAGCAACAGTTTGTAGTATGCATGCGCTTGAATTATATATCTATTTGATAGCTGTGTACGTGTGTGTATGTGCGTGCGTGTGTATGCGCGTATGTGTATGTCTCCACGTTGCTCTTTGTGCCGGCATCAGTCTGCAGAACACAAGATCTGGATCTTGCATTTGAGTTTGCAACGCAAAAACGGGACGGGAGTTTACGCCAGTCGTGCCGCACGGCGATTCGTCGCGCAAAAGGCATACGGAAAACGGAAGCCATCCGCGCAAAGTCGAAAGATACTTCCCGAGAGGCTCATACATCAGAAGGGGAGACATTTTCCTCTTAAGTAGTAGGCACTTTATATCTGTTTTCGACACTCTCGCGCGGATGTTTTTGAGCATTAGGGTGTATGGGATTTCAAAGAAAACGATTAATAGTAATCGGTAAATAATTGATGAACAATTAGTAAATCTTCGTACACCTTGATACTGGATCCGAGGATCCGAAGGATGCCGAAAACTGATGAGTGCCGTGAGGAGTGCTGTTGAGCGTTTTCCTCTACATGGAGTATTCCTCGAGAGCTCAACTGAACTCCGCCACTTTCGCATCCTGCTAATCGCGGCGATGAAAAAGTACGATACTAACGTGGGTGTTGGAAAAAAAGTAAGAAAGCAAGAGGAGAAGAGAGAAGAGGAAAGTAAAGGAAAGAAACGCGGATCTACGTTTGCGCAGCAGTTCCCCGTTCGTAGTCGCGATCGCAATTAGCGGAATGCGTTGGCTGGTTCGGTGGAACGTTTTAGGAATACCTGCCTGGTCCGGCCTGTGATCGATGTTCCGCAAACGAGCGGCAAGGAGAACGCGCTCTTGTAAAAACGTGCCCGGCATATCGCCGGGGGAATCCCCGGGGACTTTTCCCGACGATGCTTCCACGTTTCAGTGTACGTCTGCGCCGAGTGTCGGGGAGAAAGACACGCGCGTTCTATTCGAACGCGACATCGCCGGCGCGACTGGCGTAATTTCTCGCAGCAAATACCTCGTTCGTGCTGGACGTACGTACGGGGACGTCCCGCGGGAGAGATGGTCGCTTCTGCGTCGGAAATACCCGGACGATGACGATGGGCTCCCCGTGTCGTCGTGTCGAGAAAGAGAGCGGTCGAATGGCCGGCCAGTAGGGATAGTGCATGTTGTGTTCGACGTGTGTTGTAATGGGAGGGCACCGGGGGTTCAGTCTCTGATGATCCAGGTGGCAAAGAAGGCGAGCGTGCTGAAGAGGCGGAAGTCGCGGAACCGGATGGACGTCCAGCAGCAACAGCAGCAGGCCCTGCCACCCGTTACGATTTCCGGCGGTATATCGGCCGGCGCCGGCACCGGCCAGAACGAGAATCAGCGCCTCGACAACGAGGGAGACGTGGTTTTCTACATGGAGGAACCTAAGGCGGGCACGCCGAATCGCGCGAGACGTGACAATCGGTGAGTGATCGCCTCGAGCAGAAAGAAATACGTTGGGATGCCGAAGTAACCGGGACAAATTTCACCTTGCATCCACCATTCATCCTTTTGATGAATTGTAATTTTGCCGGCATAAGATGAGAATATCAATTACTGGGCACTAATAATACTGGTACTTGATCCTGGAGATTTTTATTGGCCTTTAAATATGAATATTTAAACTCCTGATATATATATATATATATATATATATATATATATATGTTGAGTATATACATGTACTCTATGTCGAAAGTTTCATATTTAAAAGCCAAGGTTACATTCTAAAACTTTTTGAAGAAAATTTTACTGAAATACGAATTCATCTATTCTTTATTTTTATCGTTCTCTCCAGTTGACTTGACAATATCACTCTCGTGTTTAATGCTGTTATAATTTCTTAAATTTTCACTTAACCTTTACACTACTTACACCTTCTCCTTATTTATTTTGTTTAATTATACTTTCTTATTTCACTCAATAAATGCTATATCGTCCTTACATACAATATTCCAAACTCTGTCCTTCCATTTTTTCTACTCGATCTTTTCACTGCTCTTTTTAATTTCTCTTCAATTTTCTTCCTTATTTCTTTACTTTCATTACTTCACTCTATACTTTCTATTGACTCCATAAAGTGATTTTTTCTCTGACTTTTTTTTCACTTTTTATGTATCTCTCTCAGTTTATATCGCCAAAAAATTTTCCATATCCTATATCCTTTTTTTTATCATTTGCACTTCAATTTTCTTGCATTCACCATAATCCTTGTGTTATCTTTTTTCCATATACTTTTATTTTACTTCCTGACCCAATTCAATGAACAAATCTTTTCTCTTCATTTTTTATATCCTCTTCTTCCTCCAGCCTTTGTGTACTTCTGTCTTCTATTATCTGTCTTCTATTATACATTTCCTCTACCGATAATTTCCTCTACATTACTATATTAATTCAAGCTTGTCTGCATTATTTACACTATCCTAACTACACGTTCCTTATGACGCCGTGACCTCTATTATCTATGTATACTTTTCCGCCCTGAATCGTGCTTTTCCACCTAACGCTTTGTTTCGCCTTCACTTATACATTATCTACGCACTCATTCCTACTAATTTCCCCTATCTGACCCCACGTATTTAATTCAAGAAATAATTCCAAACTCACGCGCCATGTTTAATCAAGCACACGCACACTTGCACGTCATCTAATCAAGTTCGAGTTAAGCACCAGTGTTATTAGTATTTGAGTATTGGTACTTTTGGTAAATATTCCGTATAAAGGACCCAGCTCCAATCACTTTGCTTTTGAGATATGTTATCAAGGACATCATTCTGAGTAACCTTCAAGTGGTTTTAGTCGGGGCTCGTTGTTTGTTAAAAAGTTATTAACAAAAGAAGTTCTATAAAATGAATGTTATTTTTGGACACAGTATACATTGAAATTAGACATCGTGTATATGAGGAATTTAATTCTCTTTACTTTATATAATATTTACTTAATATTTATCTTTCAATACGACCGTGTTTATCGTGCTTACCATTTTTAGTGTTTACATTAGTCTTTCTAGTACTCTTGGCGAAGCAACATGTTTCTATACGAGTTCCTTTATTTAACGCATAATTTAGATAATTTATTAACTTATTTGTGTGATAAAAAAGTAATTTTATGTCAAATCAAATGTCCAAAGTGTAAAAACGTTGTGCAACAGCAAACTGCAAACCATAATTTGATGTTTCACTGTACAAATAAACAT